ACCTATTGTGTGAGGCAGAGGTACCTTTGTGTTTTCAGTTTTAAGAGGTGTGGAGCTAGATGAGACAGTCTTACCTTGTGTCTTGAACTTCTTGTGAGGAGTCTTTTCCCCCCAGGTCTCTGCCTTTCTTGTCCTTATACTTGAATGAAGCTGTGCTAATGAGATTTGAGAGACCTGGCTGCCCCTGCCAAAGCAGCCTCACACTGCACAAGAAGTTGACATGTGAACAGCCCTTTGAACCAAGGAAAGACAACTCTGTCAGAGCAGTTACTCTGGCAACAGTATTTCTAATGGTGATTAGCTCCTAAACGGAGCACAAAGAGGAGTAGGTTCATTATGGAGGCGCAGCTCTGGGTTTCAGGGAGAGGAGGTGACCTGCTATTCCTCCCGTGAGTGAATTTAGTCCTCTGATAGTCAGCCCCACGCCGCTGAGAGCGGAATAGGAGAGCTTTGGTGAAAATTAACATACGGGTAACATTTTTCTACGTGCAAATGGAAACAGTGGTGGTTTGTAATGCAGATCTGCTGAGCTGGAGTGCAGAAGCCTTGCCTTACAGCTCAGAGATTGCTAGACCACCGAGCTTTCCTGGTCCTTCCAACAAATGATTCGGTGAGAAGTTAGTAGAGGCTGCTTACGAATGAATGGTTTGACTAACAAAAAGTATCATTTGAGATGAAAGTGGCAGGGGGGAGGGAAGGTTAATTTTGTTTTGGTGAGCTAGGTCAGGCATGGAAGAAGAGGCATTCAAGTCAAGAGCTTTCTCTCCAAACTTGGACATTTTATTCATCTTGCAGGCCAGGAATTTCACATGCTTTTAATTAACAAGGCCTTAAAGCAAAATACAGCTTCTAGTCATTCTGGCACATGAAATTAAGTTTAAATGTATAAAAAATAAGCATCATTCTTCCCCAAAGACCACATATTTGCTAAATATCAATTCTCCTGGTTTATAACTCTGAATATCCTTGGCATGTCCCTGTTTATTTGCAGAAGAGTTCTTGACTATGCAAATAACTTTTGTTTAGCTTTTCATACTACATATAGATGGCTTACAATAAAAATCTCTCTGAAATTGATATCTTAAGCATATAAAAGTAGAGAGAATACAATTGATATTTAAAAGGAGTTGAAATGCTTGTCACCACCTTGGTTATTTTTGATATCTGCCACATAGATTAAGTCAGTATTCATTGTTTTAGAAATATATCTTAGCAAGTATATTTATGTTAATTCAGAAGCACCGAATCAGCTTTGGGATGGGATGGAGCCTGGAAGCTCTGCGGCAAAAATATTTCTGTTTTCTTGCAATCTCTGCTCACTTTATAGAACAATGTTTGTTTTAATTGTTCAGCTTCGTCTGGGATGACATTTCAATTACAGGCACTTCAATATTAATCTGAAGATTTTGACTCTGAGTAGCCTTAAATTGGTCAATGGAGTAGACTAGCTGGCTTTAATTAACAGCAAAAAGATGTTTACGTATGGCCACAAGCTTACATCAAGCGTTTCTCAAGAGCAATGTTTATTGTATGTTTTTCAGTAGAGGTCCCACATAATCACTCAGTTGCCTAAACTCTTGTGGTGCCAGTACTGCCTTTTTGGGGAAAAAAAAATAATTAATGCTTTTGAATACATTTTTATATACTCTAACAAAGTTGCTTATGAATCCAGTGTGAATTTGTATATAATTGTAGTTGTGGAAACAAAGTATCTTGGTTTAAGGATTTTGTCTACCACTGCTAAGCAGTTAATGGGTGATCACTTTGAGTTCTAACAAAGATGTAATGACAGAAATGGGTTTTGGGCTGAACAAGCAATATAGCATGGCTGCTCTCTGGATCTCGTGTTAGTTCATATAATTATGGTGTATTTCTCTCTTGCTACAAAACCATTTAACTGTGGGGCTTTTTCCTTCCTAACTACTGTGTCTGAAGATGTCAGCAGCAGGAATTAGCAGATCTGTGGGGTTTTCAGTGCCAGCCATTTTAAGTTTTGTGTATATCAGGGCTTTCTTCTCTGGAATAGAAGATGTAGAAAATGTGAATTTGCAGCAGCACTGCTGAGGAGATGTGTGCTGAACCCCTTTTATTGACTTCTGATGGGCAAGATTTAGGTTTCATCTCTTCTCTCAAGGTAGCTTTAGAAAGAGCACAGTAGGTCTTTTGACAGTCCAGCGATTGCCCCACAGATGATCAGTCATGTCTTTCATATGTTGCAAACTTTGAAGGGTCAGGGTACTCCTTTAGGTACTTCTGAAGCTCATATCACCATCATATCCAAGGGCAAGTAGCCCTGAGCACTTGAATACTGAATGCAATCTAATTATGGAGTGACGGCTACATGACTGCAGTGAAAGAAGCAAAAACTGTTTGGTGTCTCAAAGGAAAGCAGGTTGCCTAATGAAGAGAGGGGAGAGGCAGGAGGAATCATGCTCTGGCAGGGGATGTTAGACTTGTTGCCGAAATGGAGGGGGAATTGGGAAGGTTTGGCAGCTCAGAAGGGGATTTCCATTAGGGGGCACATCATTTTTCTAACAGAGGGAAGAGCTAAGAAATGGTCTATTCTAGAATTTGTAGCACAATTTTAAGTAGGTACCATTAGATCTTCTGCTGCAATTTTACTGTTTTTACAGTGCACAGGACAAGTTACCCTTTGTACTGCGCTGTGTAAGGTTTCGTTTCCAGCTGCTTTGTGGATTACTCTTCACATTTCTAGAGACACAATTTGTGCTTTTTAAAACTTACTTTTTTATCATCCGCTTTTCTAGTACTTAGCTAGCATTCCGGTTGTGTGTTTGAGTGGGTGAATTTAGACTGTCTTGGGCTTTTTTTCCTTGTGCCTTCCTAGAGTGATAATTTGGCCAGACTGCATTATGTATGTTAATGTGATGCTACAAACACACCTATATTCAGATTGAAGGAAAGAAGTAAATATTTTCCTTGACTAATTACCTCTCCCATGTGAGGGTGGAAGCTTTTGCTGAGAAGGTAGTTTTCATTCATGTGTGGTTTTAATTCAGTTTTGGTCTTAATTTACATCTTTACCGCATATGATGAAGACAAATCCATGTGCATTTGTTAAAATCTGACCTTCGGTTTGCTCTCTGCATTCACTAATGTGTTTTAAAATATTTTAATATATGGCTTTCCAGGCTCCAGATCAATAAACCAATGGGTCTGAAATGACAGAGTGCTACGATATTCCTCTGTAATTTAAACATGATTAGCTGATGAAGGTTATGATCAATATGCCAGGGGAAGATAAATTAATTGATATCATCCTTTCAGGATGATAAGAGGCCTATTGGAGGTGGGATGTAACTAATGAAGCTGCTTCTTCATATATATGAGCCATTTTTTATACAATGTATTCTCACTAAATCATGGTTATGCCATCATTCATTTACATGAAAAACATAAGCCACAGACCAGTTTGTTATTAAAATTGCATTTGAGAAGAAATGGTACGCTTACACTGCTAAACAATATCTCTGTCTGTTATAACATACTGAGGGAGAATAATCTTGGAATTTACTTAAATATCTCTTTATATTTTCTGAACAAGACAGGTTGAATGCTGTTAGCTTAATTACACCAAGTTTCTGTGTGACTTTTTAAGTAGATGCCAATAATTGTTGCCATTCTGCCTCACTGATTTTGGTGGAGACGATGCAAGTGACTACAGACTCCTTTGCACAAGTTGAATGAAATGCTTCACTTAATGAAAGATCACTGTGTGCAAGGAAGCTAAATTTAGTTAGTACCATTTTTGATTAGCCACTACACTAGTCTCTGTGAAGGCTGAAATTTTGGTTACTTTTTAATTTGTGACCCAAAATGTAGGCAACAAATGTAAAGGCTTTTGTTTGTAAGTATTTATGACCTAAAAAGAGTCCTTTCAAAGGCTTTAGCTGAATAACAGAATGAGCTGAATTTCTAGTGTATCACGGAACTAATTTTTGAAATAGTTTGATTTTTTTAAATTGAAAAATTAGAGATGTGGAAGTTGCTGCATTTCAGATCAGCTCTGTTTCCATTTTTTATTATGAGTCTGCTAAGCTGTATATAGAGGTGTTAATGACTCTGATCCTTTTATCTGTTTAATAAATGCTGCTTTTCTTTACAAGTTGAAGAAAATTTCTTAATACATTGCAAAATAAATTTGTAATTTTCCAGCTGTGCTAGTGCTGCTAAGTAACAAATGCTAAAGCTAGAAATTATGATAGAGCTACTGTCCATAACGAATTTGAATGGGATGGGATGTATGGCACCACTAATCCAGGTATTCTGTCAGAGACCCTTTATCAGTTTTATTATTCCAATTATTATTTATTTCAAATGCTTTAAACTTCTGGTTTCCAAAACTGGTTGTCCTGGTGCAGTAATTAAGAAAAGTCCACCTTACTCCTCAGCCACAGAGAGTATACACCTTCATGTAAACTAAACCTGCTTGGACTGGGGGTGATAGCTTTCCTAATGAACGCTCATTCTCTGAGGTAGGATACCTTCCAGGATCCGACTAGTAAACAGCACTGATGCATTTGAACTAGATCGCTAGAAAGTGTTACGCATACTTATCTTCTGTCTGCAAGGAGATCATCCCAAAGAAGAACAAAAAATGTGTGCTAACATCAGCTTTGAGGTATTATAAGCATACAGTGGACTTGTAATGGTATTCCTGGTATTGGTTTTTGTGACTTCTATACCTGCCTTTTCCCCTTCTGCTTGGATGTTACTGGCTCTCGGGTGCTCACCTGGTGGAGTGAGAGTTCTGGGACCATTTCATCCATGTGGAGAACAGAGCTGGAGTCTCACATGGAACATATTGTGGAAAATCAGCATCTGTTACCTTATTTGGATGTATTGCAATACATTTTTGGAACCAGCTTTGGTAATGGAAAACCTGTTTTGTGCATGGTGTGTTCTGCATATTTTTGATATAGTGTGTTTTCCAAATGTGTACGATAGCTTACATGCTGGTATGTTTTGTTTTTCTTCAGTTGCTCAGAAGATTGTTGCAACGCGGAAGAAGCAGCAGCTCTCAATTGGACCCTGCAAATCTCTACCAAACTCTCCAAGCCACTCATCCGTGTGTTCTGCCCAGGTTTCTGCCGTACATATCAGCCAGGTACAGACTGCAGTGAATACTTGAAAAAGGAACTGATAGGTTGCTTTTCATTTAATGCTAGTGCTCTTTTTGCTGCTTTTTTTTTTTTGAAAGATATCAGTGATCTGTAGTTTGAAGCATTTTTTTTTTTTAATTGGCTTGACTTTGTTTCAAGAAACCACTGCAGTAAAATAGTTTGGATTTAAAGCCATCTTTGATCATAGTGATTTATGCCCAGCAGCCTGCTGTTCTGAGTAGACCAGTTGTTATGATAGCAGGATTTGCTGTACTGTGTTTTAAAATTACCTCACTATGGTTTTGGTTATTTTTCTCATTCAGTTGTGTGCTGAGTGATAATAGCTGGTGTATCTCAGTGGCTAGCTTGCTAGAATTTTACATCTGTAAGCACTGTGTACAATTGTAATTGCCCGTCTCTGTAATGTTCAATTAAAATGATTCCCCTTTAATGACATAGTGTTATATGTTGCTGTTGACTTGTAGATACTACATGTACAAACAACATGCTACCTTAATGTATGGCAGGAAAGTCTGGTGTCCTTGATGGTATCTTTGGAAACACACAGTTAATACCAGAATTTTCTAACTTGCACAGTTTTTACTGGCATATGTTAACACACTCTTCTCTCCTGTATTTCCATTGTGAATACCCTTCCTTGGTATCTTTGTTTTCTAGTGTCAAGTGATAATCTCCATGTACATTCACAGTTAGTATGTATGTAAGTTCTATCATTGAGATCCAAGACCTTTGCAGCCAGGCAGATTGTGTTCCCACTGTGCTCTCTCTCTCTTGCAGCAAATGGATGTTACAGGGCCATCATTTTGACCCTTACAGCCTGTGGCCAGAGCTGTGGCCTGGTTTCCTGATTGCCACTATAGCAAGTCTAAAATGTCTGATATCCACCAGCTCTCCTGGCATGTTTTTCAGTCCAAAGTCAGTAATATGCCAATGTCTTATAAGCCACCCATGTGAGGTTTTGTTTTATCTATAGACCTTTCTCCCACACAGAGGATGTCCGCTTTTTGGCAAAAAGCGGTATAGCAAAGAAGTGTTGCACCTTTGGGGAAAAGATTTTGTTGTTGGTTTTGGTTTGTTTTTTTGTTGGTGTTTTTTTGTGTTTGTTTTTTTCTCTTAAATTTGACATGTTACTGTCTTCTGAAAGCACTCTGTTTAGATTTATACCACAGGATGAAGGCTCTGGTGGTTCTGTGGTCATAGTGACTGGTTCCCTTCTGTGCCCTAGTGGGTACTTCCACTGTTGGGTTAACTCTAAAGATGCAGATGCCAGTTTGGTCTCATAGGTCTTTGCTGTGAGATGTTCTGCCTTGAGCTGAGTCCAGATACTGACCTCAGACTGTGACTCTCACTTTTGCTGGTTACGCCAAAAGAAAATGCTGAAGTTCAGACTTCCCTTTGTAAAGTGGGTGCTAAGGTACATGACACTTCTGAAGAACCCTGGCACCTTGTGGTGAAGTACAAGTTCCTCATATGGAAGATGTTCTCCCCTTTCTTGTTGCATGTGACACTGACCAGGTTTCCTCAGCCACTCTGGCTGACCAGTTCATTGCCACAAGTGCTTGGAACTTCCAGAGTGCTTTTCTTCCAGTTTACTCCTGGCAATTGTGTATATTCATACTTCTAGACCAAGAGGAATTATGGTGCCTGGAGAGGCTATCTGAGAGCTGTCCTAGTCCATGGTGAAAGAGAAAACGTGCTGTCACTGAAATGTGGAGAACAAATGGCATCAATTCCAGTACTCGCCTTACTCTTGAATCCAAGAACAACCGAGTTTACTCAGTCTGCTAATGAATATATAGTTTTTTCAAGACTTTCCAATGATAGATAATGCTTTGTACAATCCAGTCTTTGACAGCTGCATCTCGTATGTTTTGCATTGTCTTAAAGCAGTTGTGTGGCAGGCGGAGGAAGCAAGCAGCCGATTCAATGTGAATGATAGAGCAAGCTTCAACTTTATTTAAAGAAATCACACCTTATATAAGAACTCTACAATAATCATGCATACTACTCACAAATCTATTGGATACATGTAAAAGGCTACATTATAACATCCCAGCCCCTTGTGGCATTTCAGGCATGTCACCTTCCTTCTTCTGGCCTGCTTTCTTTCCCAAGGTTGTTTACTGTCACACTCAAGGCCATTTTGTACCTTTGTTAGCATAACTGTACCCTGGGTTTTTTCCTTTGTTTACCTCAGATGGCTGCAATCAGCTTCTGCAGAGACCCATGGCCTTGCTCTCTGCAAGCTGTTCTCCAACACAGTTGTGATCACCATTTTTGTTAATGAAGCTTGTTTGATGAAGAACATCAAATATCTAGTTTCTCACCAGTTTCCTACCCCAGTCTAGTTTGGAAGCCAACAGCCAATATCAAATTCTAGACAAGCACTTCACCTATGCAGCAGACTTCTTGCCAGTGATAAGGACTGTTTGGGGAAATCAAGACAAGGTAGCTTTTGTGATAAGGATCCCTACAATCTTATGTTTCAGTAAAAATGAAAAAATGTTCTTTACTGCCTTTACCAGCTGGCATAAATATCAAATGGGGCAGTTGCAACACCAATCAAAGATGTCTGTCTTCTGAGACTGATGTCATGCCTAAAAGTATAGGCCATAAATCTCTTTAATGAAAGGAAGCTGAATCCTTATCCTAGACTTAAAATAACTTTGCAACTGCAATTCCAAATTTAAAATGATCTGGGGGAAGATTTACCATCTCTGATCTTGGCTGGTGTCTCACCCGTTAGAACATCTGTTTTGACGTAATGATGTTTCACTCAATATTTCCTCCATGAATCAAAAATGTTATCATTACAGTGTCCTGCCACTTGCATTCTCCACAGGAGTGAAGGCCTTCAGAAGTAGTGGTGACACAGATCACTTCAAATAAAGGGGGATATTGTTACTTTTCTGGTCAGATCACTCTGGTGATCTAACTCTTGCAAAGTCTACATGACTGTACAGTCAAAAGCTTAGGCTTTAGAGAAATAAAAAAAGAAAAAGGTGTCATCCTACTCATTCTAATCCTTAGCATACCTTGGGGGAAATTCTAAGGCTTAAAACCAACAAGTGCTTCTCCACCCAGTAGTTTCAGTTTTCAGATGGTGAAAGACTTGTGTATTTGGATGCTTGTGTCCAGTAGTCCCAGGTGGTAAACACCTAGGTAACGTCCCATTCCAGAAAATGTTCTCCAGTATGTTTACACTTGTTTGCTTACGTATTTCCAGAGACCTGTTTTGCAGAATGAGATGCTTCCTATTCCAATATCCATTTGTGCTTGCAGTCAGTGCTGCTAATGTTTTCCTTCTCTGACTTTTTTTTTTTTTATAATGCATGTTTATCAGTCAAGGTGAGGCTTTTACTTGGTAACCTTTGACAGACAGAGTCAGTAATACTTGGTGCAAGCACATCACATACATATGATGGCTTTCAGGGCAGTACAGAATGCATGCAAAGAATTTTACTCTCTAATCCAGGGTTAACATTCATGATTTGTGATGGACAGAACTATTGTATACTCTGTCAACAAGAAGGATGGTGCAATATTGCTTGTATTCTGCTAGGAAACAATCTGTATGATGCATTGAGAAGTACTTCAGTCATCAACTCACCTTCTATTTTTTCTGAACACTTCAAGAGATAGACTGAGTTGTTTTGAGAGGAGGAAGTGTCCTTCAGTGTATTGAAGGCCTGTTATCAGCCACAGGCCATCTTGGGATAGGTCTTTTTACTTTGGCCATCAACAAGAAATGTGCTGTGGGAGAGTACAGGAATTATGCTGTGAGAGGGGAACTGCAATGGCACCATGTTTCCATGTCTGCTTGCACATGTATTCTGCCCAAAAGGGACCTTAGACACCACACCTTCTGTACTCTGAGTTTAAAAATATTACCTGAGTAGTGATGCTACCATGTAAAGTCACCTACAAAATGGCATGTAGACTGCAGTGCAAAGAAATGTGCTTACTGGTCAGCAGTGTCACTCTTCTAGAAGATTCGCATTATACACGAGGAGAATGTGGAGCTTAACATACATTTTACTGAAATGCAGCTTAAGTATGGCTGACACACAAGCTTGCTCCCTACTACCTGCTGCAAATCTGTAAAGATGCATTATTTATGCTTGCACTATGCCTCCATAAAGTTTTTACTACAATGTGATTGTCTAAATATGTAAATTAAACTATTAAAAGCAAAGTGCAGTCAGCTTAATCATCCATTATTTTACTGTATATGAGACCTGATTATGGTTAAGCACTAAATAGTAGGGTACAATTATCTTATTTATAGTGGGGGTCATTGGGAATGAAATACTCTGTTGTAATATTTTGGGCACTCGAATGAAGAAGATGCTGTGCTGCTTAACTAGCTTTTCCTTCTGCTTTTTCATGTAATTGCAAAACAAAAACTAAAAGAAATGGGAAAACAGTATTTAATACCATTGCAACATATGTTATAATTCTTTCGTATTTACAGAGTATTTATAAAGAATCTCATTTATTTAAAATAAGCATTTTATATATGTGTATATGTGTATATTTTCCCCTTCATGCATGTACGTAGTTTCACACACACTGTACACATATACAGAAGTGCATTCTCCAGAATTTGGATGTTAAAATTTAGTGGATCTGTTGTTGTACTGTTTCCTCCTTTCTTTATCTTCACAGGACCACAGTGACATTCTTGTGTTAGTTTTTGTTAGGCCTGTTTTTACCTTTTCCTTTCTAAGGTCCCTTAATCTTCTTAGATTTTTCTAGTTCATAATGATGTTTCTGCCACTGTATTATTCATAGAATCATAGAAATGGTTTGGCTTGGAAGGGACCTAAATGATCATCTAGTTCCAACCCCTGCCATGGGCAGGGACACCTTCCACTAGCCCAGGTTGCCCAAAGCCCCGTCCAACCTGTCCTTGAACCCTTACAGGGAGGGGGCAGCCACAGCTTCTCTGGGTAACCTGTGCCAGGGCCTCACTGCCCTCACA